AAAATTCTCCATTACATTCTGACATCAATTCCCCAGTCTTAACATCTGAGAGAGTCCCAACCATTGGCTCTCCAATGTCAAACAACTCAAATCTATTAACTCCAGATGGAAAACCAGAGACCCACCCATCTGGTGGGTTGAGGTAATATTTCGCTTTTATCTCTAGTTCTTGATATCATTTTTCATTCAGCTCATCCTCATTATTTGAAGCGTTACATTTTAACAGCATGGATAAAGATTCTATGGAAAAATTGACCAAGGATTTTGCTGCTGAAGCTGAGGCTGCTAATGCTGTCTGGCAATTAGCGCAGGCTGCATCTGCCACTCCTGAAGAAACATCCGTCTCAGACGAGAGCTCTCAAGTTCCAGACACCGGTTCTGAGGGTAGCGACAGTGAGTCAGCTGTTCGCCTCCATACTAGAGCTGTATGTACTCTGCTCTTTCGTCTAGTGTTAGTTTATTTTGGCAGGCGGCGAAATCACTTTTCTAATACTGCAGGTTGTAGTTGCAAAAGAAACTGTTGGGAACCTGGGGGGAATGGTGAGGCAATTGTCATTGGATCAATTTGAAAACGAGAGCAGACGAATGCTTCCCTCATATAATGATATTTCAAATCCAACAAAAAAATTCACGCGGCAGAAATCACCTCAGGGATTGCATAAGAAGGTAAGCCCCAGCAAGCTGCAATTTTTTTTTCTCAATCCTTAATGATTTAACAACAGTAATCTCTGTTTGTTATATTCCTTTTGCTGATCTTGACTTGTCGGGATATGTAATCTTCTGTTGCTGTATTGCAGATCATATCCACTTTGCTTAGGCCGCGAAATTGGAAAGCACCTGTTAATAGAAAGTTCTTTCTCGATTCATATGAAGTGGGTGAGCTTTGTTATGCAGCTGAGCAGATCTTCATGCATGAGCCTACAGTTCTTCAATTGAAAGCTCCTGTCAAAGTCTTTGGTGATCTTCATGGACAGTTTGGTGATCTGATGCGGCTATTTGATGAATATGGATTTCCTTCAACAGCTGGAGACATTACGTAAGTCTGGTCAAAGCTTGACCATTAGGTTTTTCATTTGTAGTAGCTTCACTACTCTGCACAATTTCAACATAAGCTTGCGTTTCAGTTTCTAGCATGGTTTCCAAATCTAATTATCTCAACTCTGAACAAATATGAGTAAAGGAAGTAATTATGTTAAATTTGAGATAAGTTGAAAGGAATCTGAAATTTAATTTTTCCAGGAAAGTTTATTCATCGTTATCAAGATCCTTCTGCAGATAATCAGCCATATACAGAAGTAGTGGTAGTAAAATAACTTGGGGGAATAAAATCTTCCATGATCAGAGTGTAAAGAATGTCTCCTAGCACCAGCAGTCAGCGGCAAACTTATAGATGACAACTACCCTTGCCAAAGAAAGATTAGTTTGCTTAGCATATGATAGCTTAAATAATTGGGATAACTCCTCCTTAGCTTAAAGCGTTAGTTAGATTCTGTGGAATAGCTCCTATTTGCCTCTAAACCTGCTCATAAGTTCATGGGTGCACAGCTTCCTAATGCTTTTTTACTACTTAAGTATCCGGACAAGTGTTCGTTCGTTGGCCTTAGGTAGCCTGTTACAGGAATTATTAGTTGGAAGTCTGGATATTGTACTTTTGATATAGTTTTACCACTATTGTTGGTTTGGCCAAACTAAATTGCTAGTAATCCATACTCTCCAGGCCTCAACTTTGGTTCAACATAGGTAGAACAACGGGGGATGTGTGGTAGGCACACATCACAATTTCGAATCCTGGCTGATGAACCAAGTCTGGTATTTAAGAGGTGGTTAAAGGGGTGGGTCCCATTATCCCCGGGAGTTTCAAAGCTGAAAACAACGAATCTCTGGAGTCTTACCACACACAAAAAAAAGTGAATCCCCAGGTTGATTTTGCAAGTTCTTTATCCCTGTCACTAAGTAGAAAATCCAGTGTCTAGATATTTATATTTTGCTGACCAATATGCCGCAGACTGTTAGTGATCCTATTAAATACTACTCCCTCCGTTCCAATTTATGTGAACCTGTTTGACTGGGCACGGAATTTAAGAAAAAAAGAAGACTTTTGGAGTTTGTGGTCCTAAACAAGTCAAAAAGGGATCCAGAGTATTTGTGTGATTATAAAAGCTTTTCATTGAGCGTAGAATTGAAAATTTAAGCTAAATTGGTTCCAAATTTAGAAAGGGGTCATTCTTTTTGGAACGGACAAAAAAGGAAATAGGTTTACATAAACTGGAACGGAGGGAGTATTTCTTGTGCTTGAAAGATCAATGTCTTGATTCCTAAGGTCCGCCATTATTTGCAAGATTATTATTTGCTATAATTTCATCGTCTATAAACTAAGAAGTTTGATGTTTGTCTTTCTGAGGCTCGAAAGTTGTTGTCACTTTGTAACAATCAAAAGAAAATGTTAAACAGTTTTTAAGATTTTTAACAATTAATGAAACATTTACTATTGTACTCAATCTCCCGTTATCAACTTCTCTAGAGTCTGATGACACACTGCTTTGTGTGATTTCAGTTACATTGACTATTTGTTTCTGGGCGATTACGTTGATCGAGGACAGCACAGCTTGGAGACAATCACTTTACTCCTAGCTCTGAAGGTAATCCTTGACTTGTCTAACACGGTACTTTGCCTGTCATGTATTGACATACCTTTATTTAACCAAATCGTTAACTTGTTCTGAATTTCAGATTGAATATCCAGAGAATGTACATTTGATAAGGGGGAATCATGAAGCTGCTGATATAAATGCACTTTTTGGCTTCCGTATTGAATGCATCGAGAGAATGGTAAGTTAGAATGTCGAATATATATCCTTCAAATGTATTGGCCTATTCTGATGTAAGACATCCATGTAGGGAGAGAGTGATGGGATCTGGGCATGGACGCGTTTCAATCAACTTTTTAACTATCTTCCATTGGCTGCCCTCATCGAAAAGAAAATCATCTGCATGCATGGTGGGATAGGGAGGTCAATTAATTCAGTTGAGCAGATAGAGAAGATAGAGAGGCCTATAACAATGGATGCTGGTTCGATAGTCCTAATGGATTTGCTATGGTATGTAGCTTTTTCGAAACCGTCTGGCAAGCAATTCAGGGAAAGATTTTTATGTCATTGATTTTATTTGCAGGTCTGATCCCACAGAAAATGACAGTGTAGAAGGATTAAGACCTAATGCCAGAGGGCCTGGTCTTGTAACATTTGGGGTATGTCACGCTTTTTTTTAATTGAGTTCACCATTCAACTAGAAAATTGATAGTAAAAGTTTCAGACAGCCTGCGATAAGATAAATCATCTTAAGTGTTAAATTTCTTATTCTGTATTTTTCATCTTGTATGGTCTTCACTGAAAAAATTTCTTTCTTCTTTTAAACGCACTTTTTATTTTTGTTATTCGTGATTTGATCCACCATATTACGGATTAACAAAGGATGCACATGTCTACTATCATATGGGACCTTATATTTTTCATGTCAAGTTTCATATGCAAACTACAATGTGGTCTTACAACAATTGTGGCTTTCACGACTTTGCAGCCTGATCGTGTTACTGACTTCTGCAAGAAAAACAAACTACAGCTGATTATAAGAGCACATGAGTGTGTTATGGATGGATTTGAAAGATTTGCCCAGGGGCAGCTGATCACTCTTTTTTCTGCCACCAACTATTGTGGTATGCATTAAATACTAAAGTTTTTTCTCTCCCGTGTATTACAGTACGCGTTCTAACCAAGAAAGTACATTCAGGAACCGCCAACAATGCTGGTGCTATATTAGTAGTAGGCAGAGGGTTGGTTATTGTTCCAAAGTTGATCCATCCTTTGCCTCCTCCTCTTCAATCCCCTGAAACATCTCCAGAACGAGTAATGGAGGACACTTGGATGCAGGTACTAATATTACTTTATTTTTTCCTATTTGAGCATACATTTTATTTTACAATCGTCATATTGTTTCCCACTGAGATGTACTAATAGATGTTCTTTGTCTTTAGGAACTCAACATTCAAAGACCGCCTACTCCTACTAGGGGTCGTCCACAACCAGATCATGACCGGAGCTCACTTGCCTATATTTGATGCCCAGTCGTCTATTTTGGATATTTCATTTTGCTCTATTGTGGAGTCACAAATTCCGTTGTGATGCGTTCATATATTGCTTGAAAATTCAGCACAGATCGACCATGTAACTATCTCCGTACAGTCTACAGAAGCCCTGTTGTATTCTACAGATACTAGTCAGTAAGGCATCCAACATGTAACATAGCTGGAGAGGTAGAGGATTAGCTGTTAAAAGAGTGAAAAATTGATATAGATTAGTATTAATGAAGTTTAAACAGGGTTATTTATAGAAAAGGGAGTATTGTTAGCAGAGTGCTAGGTGCAATGTAAAAAGCTACGGATATTTTTTTTCTCAACCTAATTATCAGTGTGGCTTCCCTGTAAAATATTATTTCGCTAAGTCGATGTGTAGTCCCGGGGCTGGGGGGGGGGGGGGGTTTTGGTAGGGCGTCGTCCATAGATGATTTGTGTATTGTATTGTGCCCCCTTATGGTAGTTACTGGTCGATATATTTGCATGCCATTTTATTTATGGTTTATGTTTAGATAATTATTTATGTGATTTCTGCTGGAGTTACTAATGCTCTTTTGTTTTTTATTTTTTTTTTTTGTTTTCCTTTTCCTTTTCCTGAGCCGAGGGTCGATTGGAAACAGCCTCTCTGCCCTTTCGGGTAGGGGTAAGGCCTGTATACGTATTACCCTCCCCAGACCCCACCTTGTGGGACTATACTGGGTAGTTGTTGTAGTAGTATCTAAGTCGATGTGTACTAGATCATGTCGCAGACCCTTTATGGTTGAAATATTTGGGTTTCAATCAATAAAAGTATCCAACTGCCTGAATATTGAAGTGCGTTGCATTGGTACAGGCAGCTACCTCAGAAGCTAATTGTGACAAGCTAGTAAACTGCACACTGATAAGAAAAACTAGAGGAAAAGAAAGAAATAACAGTGTTTTGTAAGGTGAAATTGTGCCACATCTTAACTGCCATTTTTCAAACTTTCGGATGTTATACAGAATGTTGCATGAGAACAGTAATCTTGTAAATCCTAAACCTCCACAATGTACAGGGAGCAAATGACTAAGACTTGTCTTTGGGAATCTGGGCATCTTTTCTGCAGAAGTAATATCATCACGGCCAGCACCATGGACGGTATGATGTGAACTATCCCGAGATAGTTCCACAACAAGCCACGAGGATAGTATCGCCTTTCACGAGAACTGGATAGTTTTCCAGTTCAGGCATCAGCCTAGTGACAGCATGGGAAAGATTCATAAGACCGCCAACATGTGGACCTCGAATTCCCCGGTAATTATCAAATCTGTAACAAATCAGCTAGGAGTTACCAGCTTAAGTATAATATAGACAACTGGAACAAAAAAATTAGGAAACATGCGCCTCCAGCTTTCGTTTTTAAGTACTTGGAACATGAACTCCAGTGCAAATATTGTAATAGGTGTCGCTTCTTTAATCTATACATAAGCAAACAAGTTTTAGCAAGAAGTTTCAAGATAACAGAAAAAAGAGTCCAACAATTCTTACCAGGAACTGAGGTGCTTTTGATTCACCGAGCTGGCAGCACAAAAAGTTTGCTGGACTGCCACAAGACTCGCATGAAACCAAATTTTCTTTCAGCCTGATCAAATGATGTTCCAGTTAGTTCTGATGGGTAAGGAAGCTTAGCAGACCTGTCGACCTTGAGATCAATAATATCCACAACACAGGTCCCTAACTCCTCCAGGTCCCTTTGATACCACTTGCCACTGACTTGACATACCTTTCCTCTCCCTATCTCTTCTGCTTTGTCATTTACAAGCACAACGTACTGGCCTGCCATACACTTGGCCGTTTCAGTTGAAGCTACAGATACAGCGGCTGAGTTTTCTGTAAAACAAGTGCTCGGAGCCGGGCCAGTTACCCTCTGCACATTTTCTCTAGCAGCAGAGAGGTTACCGACATCCTCGACAGGACTGCCAGGTGAGTCACAGGGAGGTAGTACGAGGGACCCACCATGTTTGTCAAGATTATCCCCTTCAGACAGCGTACGACCATCCTTAGCAGCACGAGCTATCCTCGCTTTCCGATTATTTAGCCTGTAGGTATTCAAAATAGAAATGATTCTCCAGCGTGAGGACAAGACAAGAAACATAACTCATTAAATCAGATTGAGACCTATTTGTAAATTGTAATTCTTTTCTTTTCTTTTCTCTCAGGAATAAGTGAATTATTTGTGCATTATCTCAATAGATTGCACACTTATTAGCTAGAGAATACATGAAGCAAAACAAAGTTGCATTTTGATACACCAGTAGAACTCTGTTGGACCCTCAGATAACTGTGGGAGCAACACATCAAACCCTCAGACCTTTTTGTTGACTAAGCACGCCATTGGAACAGGTACCTATCTTTCACAAGGTAATAGGATGTGTTCCCTGGGCAACAGTAACTTGGGTAGTCATGGATGCTGGCCCTCAATAGTGGGAAGGCAGTGCAAAGAGGTGTGAAAAGAAAAAACCGTCTAGGTACTTCACGATAAACATACCCCCACCATTCTGACAATGAAATAGTTTAAGATAAATTATTCAAAGGTGCTAACAAAAAACATAGGGGTATCAGCATTACCAATTCTTGAGCTGTGACTTTGTAACCTCTGAACCCTGGAAACAAAGCAGGAACTTGTTAGGGAGGATTTTAATTAATTGATGAAAGAGCAGAAAAAAGACGTGAGGCTTGCAACATACATGAACACTTAATTCTTTAGCCCAAAATTCTAGTGACGCTTTATTTCGCTGCATATCAGGTTCGTCCATAAGGGCCTTCTCCATAAGTGATATCTGTTTTTCGTTCATTATAGTTCGCTTCCGTTTCCTTTGTTGCTTCTCTTCATGCTGTGAAGCTTCAGCCACTTCATCCTCTCTACCATCTCCAGGACCATTGCAATTTATTTTCTCAACTTTCCCAACTTGATCTGTTGGGTGCCTACTTCGTGAGGAGCTGGAATCGGAGCCACTAGTTTCCACATTCTGAGTATCTTTCTCAATATCCTTCATCTCTATATCTGTAGCAATAAATTTATCTTGTTCTGTCATTTCGGCTTTCATCCCAGCCTCACCTGATTGACCTTTGCCATTGACCCTGGAATAGAGCTGGTTCAGTCTGTTGTTAAGATCCATGGCTACTTCCCTGAGTTGAGGGGGCAAGCATGCCTCCAGGTTCTGAGCCTCCTAGAGAAAATGAAAATATTAATGCTCCCTCCTAAATAAAATGAGTTTAAGCCGATTAAAGAATGAAAACAAAAAACACTAGAATAAATTGGTATAAATAAACTTCAAGCCATCACTATGTCCAGTTTTAAAGTACTCTAGTCATTTTAGTCACTTGACCGAACTATATTTATTTCTGCTAACAAGGTGGTCACATTTGGCAAGAGTAATCATGGGTGGTTCACAAGAAATTCAATTTCATTATTTTCTCCCTAAAGAGATTTCCAGATTATAGGAGATATGCATACATAACTTCTTTCTCTTCTTTAGAAAGTATAATTTATGTGCATGTGATCAATACCACCAACAGTAGACACAACCACTACGCTTCCCTATGGCCAACTGCTCTCCTGCTCTCAGCAAAACTTAGCATACGACCATTTTCCATAGAATAAACACCACTGCTGCCCTCCCCTCGCCCCAACTTCTCTTCTCTCGCTCAGCATGTGTCAAGTTCCTATTTTGTCACAATGTTACTATATGAGAAACTATGTCTCCAAGTTGACTAGGGACACGATCCTCTATGAATAAAAAAAGATCACAGATTTAAAATCTCCAACTTGGAGCTCTCTAAGAATTCTGCCAAATAAAGTTGCAAACAAGAAATAGTCAGGATCTCATGTTGTCGTTATTCTCCCTACATAATCAAAACCAGCAAACTTTCAAGTATAAAGAGTAAAGAGCAGCAAAGGTTTCCTGGAACTAATTAAAGAAGTGAAACTGTATCCTCGAACCGCAATTTACTTGTGTTAAATCCTAGACACACTTTATAAGAAGTTAAACAGTGCCCTCGAACCGAATTTTACTTTGTTAGGTCCTTGAAATGTTAGTCCTAGCAATTTTGTCACAAGATGGGGCCAGGTGCACATCATGTCACGAAACGAACTACCTTTGTAAAGCCTAATCCCCCAACCTATTGATTATTTGTATATAACACTGTTTTTCATGAATTATTTAGTTATCATATAATTTAATATAAAAGAATACTACTCTGTTGATCCTACTTTGCCCAGCCATATCTTCAGCACTAATTGTCTTCTTCCTTCTCCACCCCCTTCCCCTCCCTGCCCATGTTGTGCCCCTTATCCATTCCAACCAGGAAGATAGGAAACAGACACATCAATGAAAGTTACCACCGAGCCCCCAAATCACACCTACCTAAGCAAAAAGGAAAAACAAAATGATAAACAATTGACCAAACTCCACCACATCTCATCTCTAAAAGTGCAAGTCAGCATCATCATTCCCCTGTAGCCTTTCAAGAAGCAGCACCATAGTCCATACGCCTATTCTTCATTCAACCACTCCTTTTGTTAGAAATCCTAATCGTGCCCTTTAGATTTTCAAAATGAATTGTCCAAAGGTTTCCCTGTACCCTTGGCTTTTTAATCTTTATACTCTGTGCAGGTCTTTATTTTGCTTTACTGATTTCATTTGCTTTAATTGATTTAATCTATTATATATAACCAAAGCCTCACTCTGATTATGTTGTGAGGCTGACCGAATCCATCCACAAACCAAGAAATGAAACATCGTTCATTGCACACGGCCTTCCCTATGTATACATCAGTTCCTTTCTTTTGAAAAATAGAAAAAAGTCCCCCTAAGTACTTCACTTAGCCTTTCTATAGTCTTTCTTCCATTCTTCCCTCAAAGAGCGCTCTTTCATCCATGCGCGTGGTTCTTACTTTCATTTCCCCGCTCGTTATTTAGAACGAAATTGGTGAAATGACAAAATCCATAAAGAATATTCAACATGCTCCGGAAGGAATTCCAGGAGGGCCTTACGGTTATCCTTGTACTTTGTTTGTTGCACATAGCCTAATGTACACTTGCCCCTTTTTTCTTTCTTTTGATTGGGCAAGTGTACATTAGGCCCTCCTGGAAGTTTGATGGGGCAAGTGTACATTATGCTACCGAAAGACTAAATATATATTTGTCTTTTCTTAGATCATGAAGTTTCTTTTTTTAATCGGTTTTTCTTGAATGGTTAAGTTGGGCAGCTGGCTGTCATAGACGTTAAGGAAAGAATAAGGAAGAAAACAGTTGTGGGCAACATATGGGGGGCTGAATGGGAGGTAGAGGTGGCTGTAAGGAGGCTATGTAGGCACCAGCCCAGGTTGGTGGTGTTAGAGGCTGCCTGGAAGTTGGGGACGGCAATGAAGGCAGTCAGGAAAATGAGGAGGAACAGTCCCTTCTTTTGGTTTAAATTAAGAGGAAGAGCATACTGGATTATTATTTAGTTACCTGATGCATGCCGCTCTCTAGTGAAAGTACTGATCAGATTTTGCACTTCTTAACTGAGGACTTAATGTGACATTTGCTCAATTTCAAAAGGAGTTTCACATTTGTTACGAAGAATAGATAATTAATTCAGCAAGAAATACAGCTCGCGGGTAAAAGTCATTGGATTACAACAACTGAAAATCCAAATACACCTAACAATCTTCTCCGAGATTGAGTTTCCACAGCTTCTCCAACAACAATGATTCCTCAAACATGCTTCCCTAAATGTTATCCTCAAACATGCTTCCCTAAATGTTATCCAGCAGCATAGTTCACTAACACATTGAATTGGGACAAAATGACAATATCAACAAACTACTAAGAAGGAATAGTGAATGTTCCATGGCGCAAGGGTCCAATAAATAAATAATGCACTGTATATAACTAAGGGAAAAGAAGGATGTATCCAAAGAAGAAAACAAAGTAGAGATCAGAGGATTTACTTGAACTCGATTTTCTCCGCGTGCACGGGGAGTAATCAGAGATTCTAACTGAGTGATGAACACCCTTCAGAAAAAAAAAAGTGACAATATTAGTATTAATTTATAGTAGAAAAGATAATTGTTCTAATTGAGTTTCTTGCATAACCTTTTTACAAGATGCAGAGCTTTCTATAGAGGATGATGTCATTTTTTTTTTCCTGATAAGCAAGATGTTGTCTTTAAGTCTAATGGATCAAGCAACACAGGGTACCATCATGAGCATGATTTTGCAGTTACAGAACACGACCACCGTAAAGCAAATCATATAAGATGCATACTTTACGGTTCCAATGTGAGAATAAGAAAGATGCCAGATTATTAGTCACCTTAAAAGCTGCACGTCCTCCTCATTCAGAAAGGCAGGTATCAGAGACTCTGCATGACTTAACAGGGAACCTGCAAGGCACAAGTCAATGATAAAGCACATTGCTTAAAACTGGATGACACTCTACATATTAAAGATGCTTACCAAGGTTTCGGCTAACAGTGGCTGCTTTCTGAGAATCAGAAATGGATTTAAACCCTTCTGGGGTTTCGGAAACTTTTTTTCTCAAACACTGAACAAATTTATTAAGAAAAAGATCCTTCTCCTCTGCAATCAAAACTAGCATGATTTAGCAATAACCAGGCACCAATACTACGCATCAGGACAGTCAAGAAGGTTTTATACCTTTGCATATATCAGGAACAAAACAATGGAGATTTGCTAATACTTTGACCAACAATGATGTTCTCTGATGTGGATAAGACAGTCGAGGCACATGGGAAGGAACAAAAGTTGGCTCTATACTCATTGCATTTGACTGATCAGAAAATGGAAATAAATCCAATACCCATCCAGCTGCTGCAAAAGGATCATATTCCAAAGTAGCATCTTCTTCACGTATTGGAAGGTCAGATGAGCACCAACTAGACACAAACTCTCCATGCGCGACCGAAAAGATTTCGGTCAAAACTTCAGTCTGAAGGAATGTATAACAAGGTAAACATGAAAAAAGGATCTCTTGGTAGATGAAAGAACAGGCATGAACATGGTGCAGAATTACCCAAAATAGTACTCCCTCCGTTTTAGTTCATGTGTCTTACTTTCCTTTTTAGTCTGTTTCAAAACGAATGCCTCTCTCTATATTTAGTAACTTTTTAGCTTCAACTTTCCACATGGCATATTTAAGGGGGCAAGATTCAAGGACGTTTTGGTACATTACACACATCTTTAGTTTAAGACCACAAGATTTAAAAGTCTTCCTTACTTTCTTAAACTCCGTGCCCAGTCAAACTAAAATACATAAATTGAAATGGAGGGAGTAATATTGTTACAGGAAAATCCTTTAGCAGCTATTATAGGAAAAAATATCTTCTTACAAAGTGAGTGGTGATAAATGACCGAAAATTTGAGTCGTCTGAGAAGATGTCAGCTAGCCGCATTGCATTGAGTTGTAACTGTCCTTTCGGATAAATTTTGTCAGATGGAGCAACAGATTGTTGGAAACCCGTTCCAAACATTTTCTTCAGCAAATTAAGAACCTAAACCAACAAAATTGCATCATACAAACTGTCTGCTTCAATAAACTTATTTCCAACTAGAAAGATAAGTAGCAGCATACAAAGCATGCAGTTCGAGACATACTACATCTCAACAAGCATCCCGCACGCAGTAACATACAGTATCTGAATGAATAACTTATCTGAACCATTTAAAGCAGCTACTTTTGTTTCTGGTGGCAACTGTTCAACTTTCGGATGATGCCCATAAGTTGTCTTTGCATCACAAAGAGGGGCAATACCCGCCTCATGCCATGTTTTTTCAATGAGTGATTCCTTTATCCTATCTATAAATACCCCTTCTTATACAATACCATCTCCGATCAGTTATCTACTGTGTAACATGGAATTAAGCATCTCTAGATGAAAAGGGACAGTAAAAATCTCCCCCCCCCCTATGCTGGGTTTTATTTAAGATAGAGTTTTGAACCGGACCATACCTCAAAAGGAGTTTTGAACTCAATAGCTGTGGATGTGACCAGGAGGTCACGGGTTCGAGCCGTGGAAACAGCCTCTTGCAGAAATGTAGGCTAAGGCTGCGTACGATAGACCCTTGTGGTCCGGCCCTTCCCAGGATCCTGCGTATAGCGGGAGCTTAGTGCACCGGGCTGCCCTTTGGTAAGACTGCATATGATAGACCCTTGTGGTACGGACCTTCCCCGGACCCCGCGCATAGTGGGAGCTTAGTGCACCGGGCTGCCCCTTTTTTTTTAAGTGCACATGATTCATCAACAAACAACCAACCCGTGTATAATCAGAAATCTCAATTTTCAAGTATCCTGGAGTTTCGATGCCTTAGGTCACCTCATCACATTAAAACGGATTCAAAACTTGATAGTTACAGTGAAGCTCCAAAGGGGCTTTCTTTTATTGTTAATGTCCTTGGTCTATTCAGTCTTGCACAGATTAAGGTTAACTAACTTAAAAAAATGGTATTATCAAAATGAATAGGGAATGCATTAGTAGTGCCCATGCCAACAAGATAAAGTGTAAATGAATAAAGTTGAGCTTCTATAGGAATATCACTTAATGTGGTTTATTGTCTACTTTTGGTGCCTGCATGTAGGATACAAAATTAATTGAACTCTCACATCTTGGTCTTTACCCGTGGATAGCCGAAAGAACATAACAAGTCAGTGCGATGAGTTTTGATTAAGGAAAAGAAGATAAATCTGACTTTTTAAAATAAAATAAGAACACTTTGTTATTAACGGCCACGCAGAAGCCTGAAGATCCACTGTCATACCAATAGTGAATCATCAACGAGACCACGAGAGAACTTGCGCTGTCTATCACTAAGCTATTCGCCTCCTGAATTAGCAACTTTAAAAGAGACAAGAAAAACACAATTAGTGTCCAGGGACAGACCTCGAGAGCAATAGACTTTGCTAAATCAAGGCTTGCAGGGGTACTGGCAACCTCATCCAGGTAGGACAGACTCTCTGCTTCACAGAGATTCAACAACTGCAGAAAATATTGCTTTAAATTAATTCCCACAAGAATTGCTTTTACCAACTGTTTTCAGCAAATTTACTAATTTTACAAGGCCTCAAGTAATAAGAATAGCCAAAGACCCCACTGATCAGTTGGACTTACAATAGACAATACTTTAGATTTCAGTCTTGACACAGCAGCAATAATTGAGGAGGATAACGTAACTAAGGGAGATACATCTAAGTGCATCACAGCTTGTGCCAACAAAAGAACTCCGCCTTTGCTGCTCAACTCCTGACATAGATTTAAGAACAACAAATTCATGAAGAAGAAAACGCACAAAGTTGAGTTTAAGAAAAGTTTTCAAATCTCATCACATAGAACAGTTAAAAACACATTGAAGATGTCAAATGCTTGCAAGAATTATGAAAAAGATCCACTTCAAAAAAGAATTATGAAAAAGATCATCACAATAAATGCTCAGAAAATCAGTTATCAACAGCTACTACTACTACACCTCAATCAGTTTTATATGCTGGTAAAATAGGTTCATAGTTCTATGAATGCAAAAATGGAACGGACACATGCTCGGACAACTTAAGTGAAATAACACAGCAAGCACAAAATTAAAAAGTTGTAGTATGAGCTGGGACCATGCAGCTTTGCCAGGTTCAGAAAGACAGCAAGAGAAAGTTGAAGATAGGTAATCGAGTACTCTCTTGAACTTGCAGAAGTTAAATTTGGTCAAACTAATTTTGTTTATAGATCATATTATTCTCGTGAGATAAGAAATTTGATTCTGTAATCCACTTAATACCATAAAGCATGTAAAGGGAACAAGAATGCGAGTAAGGAAAGCAGGGTTCACCTAATAATTAAAAAAACAGGTTAATTTGTGCGTCATATTTGGTTCCATCAGACAATTGTAGACTCACCCTACTGAAGCTAAACCTGCTAAAAAATGTTCTTTATCCAACTCTCCAGCAGTTATTTTCGTTTCAGGTGCTATAACTAATATAATTCTAGGGAAAAACCTTATTCTTAACAAGACGCTCCCGAAATGATTTTTGCTGGCATAGTGACTGAAGAAACTGCAGAGAAGCCTCACACTGCTGGCAGAGATGGTTTAAAGTTTCTTCAGCTTTAAGACCATATTCTTGCTGGGAATGAGCATGATCAGCTGATAAATTCCTCCGCAGAATTTTAATATCAGCAGTAACAGCAGCAAAGGCAGTATCTATGAGTACATCTACCTGCCAAAGAATGTGGATGATCCTAAGCCCAAGAACAATCTCTCAAATACAAAAGTAATGCATACAAGTACTACATTATCTTTTTAATTCCTACATGAAGGTCCTGTATTGTTCATACACAGAATGTTACCTTGTAATATGCAAGCAAAACTTGAGCAAGCTCATGCCATTGTGAAGATATACAGACAGTCAATAAGTAGAGACTGGAAGCAACCAGAGTAGAATGCAAAAGGCCCATATCATTTGAAACCTGAAAATTTGAGATACCGATAAATAATCCTCAGCATAGTTAAAATAGAAACATAAAGATAAAAAATCCAGGTGAGGGGAAAAACAACCTTACTGTAAGTACAGAGAATAACAAGAGAATAGAAAACGAGATCGAGCAGCTGTTCTGATACTTTCACATCATCAAGCAATATCTGGAACAAGTACATCAAGATTTCAGCGTGATCTTGTTCTATGTCACAAGATATAATAACAAATGTTCATGATCTACTCGCCTTTTGACAAAAATGCAGAAAATTGGAAATTTACATGTATATGTGCACTTATAACTATCTGGGACGGAAGATTGTAAGGCCATATATCCTATAGATATTTTAAGTTATCTTTCTTAATTAGTATATAGCTGTAGAATGTCAAAAGTACAACCTTTGAGAAGAGAAATAAATTGACAGGTCACAAGATCAGCAACCCAAATAAGACAATTACACTCAGAAGAGCAACATATAACAAAAATATTCATGAGAACTTTGAAACCTAGCTCAATATATGCTCTTCATCCCAAGTAGAATATGAGTTCGAAATACAAGGCTTGAAGTATCTAGTTTTGGTATAACTCCGGACATCGATTCCTTAAATTTACGTGAAATAGATTTTACATATTTAAAACCCACATTGTTCAATATATTTGCAAATGTAAGAGATAATTGTAGTCAAAGAAAAACGGTCCAACTGCCAAACTAGTAATAGTGTCATAAAAATGAGCCACATAGACTACTAATTGTTTATGATTTCTTTTGTATTAGCCTGCTAAAACCTTTCCTGTTTTTTTTTCTCCTTTCATTATCCCAATACATTAATATTATAGAGAAATACAAAACTCCATTTGGCACACAAATAGAACAGGAGAAGCAGAAATGGAATGAAAACAACCGCTAAATCGGCTCTTGTACTAGCTACCAGTTGTGTAAACAAAATAAGAAATGTCCTTGACCACATAAATAAACCAACAAATAAGGTGCCAACCTGCTCTATTTTTGGATTGCGTGATGCTAGATCACTCAAGGAGTGCAACAGTTGAAACCCAGATAGCAAGTATTTGAGTAAGCCTGCATTGGCTTCTGATGCCAAAATCACCGCAATAAGGTGCAAAGCAAGATGTCTTGCAAGTTTTTCCACGTCAATCTACAAACTTAAGAATGTCTTAGAACGCCTAAAAGACTACAAAACATAATTTAACCATAATGGAATAATAAAGAAGATCACATGGTGCCATGGCCATTAAGAGTTCCAACCTGTATGTTTAACCCATTATCAGGTATGTGTTGAAGGATATTGTTTTCAGCTTCTCTTATAAGCCTGCTCAGCTCTTGAGAGCTGAGACCATGTAAACTTTTCACAGCTGAAATCAGGTCAAGTGCCTATAATCAAAAGAATTTTATGAGTTAAACATGCGCAATGGAGCACAGCGTAACTGTTGACAAGCAGTCATATGGCAATGCCAAACTAGTTGATTGGCTTCGTGAATCCTCCATATCCATTCCAATGTATCCGTGCTCATTCCATTCCCATCCATATTCTATCTTACTTCTACTCATCCAAAACCCCTTACACATTAAAGACACTGTCCATGCCAGAGTACAGCATTAATCTGATAGCGCACAGCATATACTTGCATCAGCAGCTCAAACATTTATTTGTCAGCTGCCTAAGCCTAGCTCGAACACTAGGTGACTTCTCCTTATCTGCCAAAGCCACAGCCTTAGTGGGCAGAGTTACCTGGTACCTGTACTGGTAGGAGGTAGTAGGGTATCCGAACGAACCGTCAAGGCACGCGCAAGCTGGCCCAACACCACAATTATCAATAAACATGTATTTCTTGTTAGATTCAATGTTGTTGGATACAATACAACTATGTTTACTATTTCCAGTACACAACAAATGTTCCCTTTTATGTGACACCGTGAGATTGATAATTTCAAAATAGTATACACAAACGAAAAGAACAAAACATACATACAGGATAATAGCTGTTCCTTTTGGGTTTTGTTTTAATAACTGTAGTGTTTGGACCAGCTTGCGCGCACCTTGACTAATTCCACGGATACTTGCTATCTCAAACCAACACAGGTACCGGGTAATACTGTCCACCAAGGCTGTTCCTTTTCGGTTATTTCCTTCTTCTTTTTTCTTTTTTTGCTATTAAATTTGTTTCCCATTCTCCTCTTTAATAAGTAATTATCACGCATGCATACGCCTTATGGACCAATATTATTGCCCCTTAAAAAGAGACCAGAAATTAGCTGCTACTGCATCAGAAAATGAATCAAACAGTTAATCTTGTTAACTTACAGGGTGGATGGGTCTTGCAACTGGGTCAGTGCTGCATGATGCTCCTTCTTCTTTCATACTAAGAAATCTGCACCAAATTCAAGAAAGCAGAATGCTCCAACCCAACTGATGACGTGTACCCAATAAAACATATAAGGGTTAAAATTCTTTGGCAAAAATCTAAGATAAGACCAATATATGTAGCAAATCAGAGAAGATTAAAGAATCCCCCAATGCCTAACAAGTTTAAATTTTTTAATTCACAAAAAAAAAAAAAAAAAAAAGAAACACACTTAAAATCAGAAAGGTTAAAAAGATGAAGCTACGAGACCTGAGCTTCGCGAATTGCAAAATGAGAGAGCTAGTTGGGGAAGAGAGAATGGGACGGAGCAAGAAAATAGAGCGAACAGTAATGAGACTTACTTCTTGTATTAATTTCTCGTGCTCTTCGATTATATAAACACTCCCAGTTGACTATTAAGTCCTAATATTCCTTCAAGGGAAGTTTTATTTCTTTTTCTTTATATATAATGGTCTTTTTTAAATAAAGTAATAAAGTTTTACTTATGCTTGGGTATGAAATGTTCATATACAAGCAGTATATTAAAAAATAATATATATAATATTAGCTTTTTAAAGTTTACTTCAGATTATCATATATTCTTCCTGTTCTAATTAACATAACGTTTATTTTATTTCAAAATATTACATATTTTTATTTTTATATAATTTTCAATATTTCAGTTTGTTAAATTATTCATATTCTAACTTTGATACTGTATACGGATAAAATCGGGCCCATCCAATTTTACTGATTAACCGAGACCAGGGGGATGGATCAAGGATCGACCACATAGCATATCAGACCGAGATACAAGGATAAGGTACCGAGTTCGGGATTCGAAATACCTGTCGAGATCGAGACCGGTAATGATCGAGATCGAATGGGATAGACATCGAGCAAGACCGAAGATAGCGTAATAACAAAAAGGCGAGATATACGTGACTGGTAGAGGATCATGGCGGAAATCTCGGAACATATCAAATCAAGGGCGGTTGTTTAGCTAATCATGAGATTTTCTTCTGTAATTAGAATTAAACCGTAAATAGGATTCCTCCACTATATAAAGAGGATCTTAAATATTGTGTAATCATCTTACATTTACGCACATCAAAGTAATATATCAAATTTTTATCTCTTGCAAGCTCTATTGTCCAGTTCGTACTTTCAATAGTTTGTTCAGTTGGTTCGAGGATAATTAGCTCGAGGGCCATAATTGTTCATCACATTGGTTTGCTTTATTTTACTGTAATTTATGTCATTAATTCTTATATTTATCATTTTGTGCCAAGTGAAATCACATATCCTTAAAATCACTTATAAGTTTAATTGCTATCCGATTTTAAGGGTAAACAGCTTGGCGCCCACCGTGGGGCTAAGGATAATAGTGATTGCCTGGTACAATTTTCAATACACACGCTATTTTACACTTCTTCTTTGAAGTGTCTTTGATTCCAGAATCAACATGTCATACTCTCAAATAGCACCTACACACACGGACAATGGTCTCGGTCTCCATGGCGAGAATGATAACATAGCCGCCCCAGGAAACAGAGTACCTCCAGGTCAGCCCCGATGGTGCTCCGACTGTGGAGCAAATCAACTTAGCTCCTATATTGCCATTAATGGGAATTTGTGCGTCGACCCTGAAAATAGCGTCCGCAGAAGTGCTCGAATGACATATCAGAACGCCCAGGATGGTGAAGAAGGTGGTATTAGCCTTCAAATGATATTTGAAATGTTGCAGACCTAACAAGTTGCAACAGCACAGCTCCAAAATCAGAATCGTGCACCAAGCAGGATCGAGATCGAGCCATCACAAGAAATTGTTCATAGAGCCGAGTCAGTGAAAAAAAGGTCGAATGGAGGAGAACCGGAGACCAATCCTGCTATCGTAAAGATGCTCGAGGAACTAACAAAGCGGATCCAGACAAGGGAAAAGAAGATCGAGGAAAACGATAAGAAAGTGGAAACTTATAATTCCACGGTCGACCAAATCCCCAGGGCACCACTAGTATTAAAAGGACTTGATTCCAAAAAGTTTATCCAAAAACCTTTCGCCCCGAGTGCGGCTCTGAAGCCAATCCCCAAGAAGTTCTGTATACCCGAGATCCCAAAATATAACGGGACAACAGATCCAAATGAGCACGTCACCTCGTACACGTGCGCCATTAAGGGAAATAACTTGGAAGACAACGAGATCGAGTCCGTGTTGCTGAAGAAGTTAGGGGAGACTCTATCTAAGAGTGCTATGATATGGTACCATAATTTACCGCCTAATTCTATTGATTTGTTTGCTATGCTTGCAGATTCTTTTGTAAAGGCACATGCCGGGGCCATTAAGGTCACTACCAGAAAGTTGGACCTTTTCAAGGTAAGACAGAAAGACAACAAAATGCTCAAGGAAATCGTATCTCGATTCCAAATGGAGCGAATGGATTTGCCACCGGTCACCGACGATTGGGCTGTTCAAGCTTTACTCAAGGTCTCAACGCTCGAAGTTCTGTAGCTTCACAGTAGTTAAAATAGAATTTGATCGAATATCCAGCTGTCACTTGGGCCGATGTACATAATCGGTATCAAAGATCAGGGTTGAGGATGATCAACTGGGGCTCCTATCGGTTCAATTTATCCTAACAAGCCCATAGACATAGTTAAAAGGGACGTTGACCGGGAACCACAGTCGAACAGAGACAGATATCAGCCATATGGTGGAGATCAGAGAAATAATGATCCTGGGCGCAACCCCGTTCGGAATGATCGGGGACAGAGCTCGTGAGGGCTCATGAGCAAAAGTGGTTTCGATAAGGATATCCGGACCAAAGAAGCACCTCGATTGTCAGAATATAACTTCAACGTGGACGCTTCCGCCATAGTATCAGCCATTGGACGTATCAAAGATACCAGGTGGCCTTGACCTATGCAGACTGATCTGGCCCAGAGAAATCCAAACCAAATAGCCAAGTATCATGGTACCGATGGCCATAAAACAGAAAATTGCAGGCAGCTAAGGGAGGAAGTAGCCCGATTGTTCAACGAGGGTCACCTTCGAGAATTCTTAAGTGAGCGGGCCAAGAATCACTTCAAAAACAGAGATTCAAACAGGCGGAACGAGCAAGAGGAGCCGCAACACGTGATTCACATGATCGTTGGAGGGGTCGACATTCCTCAAGGACCGGTATTTAAGCGCACCAAGGTGACGATCACAAGGGAAAAATGAACACGGAATTACTTACCAGAAGAGACCTTGTCTTTCAACGACGAGGATGCGGAAGGAATCGGACAACCTTATAATGACGTACTGGTAATTTTTCTGTCCTTATGAATAAAATTCAAGTTAAACGTGATTTAGTTGATCCAGGTAGCTCGGCCAACATTATTCGATCAATGGTCGTAGAATAGCTTGGCCTACAAGATCAAATTGCCCCTGCAGCTCGAGTACTTAACGGGTTCAACATGGCAAGCGAAACCACCAAAGGTGAGATTGTTTTTCTAGTGAACGTGGTCAGGACCATACAAGAAACAAAGTTCCATGTAATCGAGGGCGACATGAGATACAACGCTCTGCTCGGAAGGCCTTGGATCCATAACATGAGGGCGATAACCTCGACCCTTCACCAAGTTCTGAAGTTCCCGATATCTGAAGGAGTCAAAACAGTGTACGGGGAACAACATGCTTACAAGGAGATGTTTGCAATTGACGAGGTAATACTGGTGTCAGCACTTTNTAGTGAGCATATCGACCTTAGACTGTTTTACTTGTGTGGTTACCCTCCATGAGCTAGTTTGCTAAAAGCTTCCCATATCTCCTTGGCAGTGTCACAGACGAAGATTCTATTGTATTATTTAGGTCCTATTCCACATACTAGAATTTTCTTGGCACGAAAATTCTTCTCCACAGCTTTCTTGTCTGTGTCAGTGTATTCTTTACTGGTTTTTGCCATTGAAAATGGAAGTTCTTCCAGTACCTTTGTTGGAACATAAGGACCATCGCATATAATATCCCATAACTCAGAATCCTCAGCCATGATAAAATCATGCATTCTTGTTTTCCACCACCCATAGTATTGTCCATTGAACCTGGGTGGTCGGTATGTAGATTGACCTTCTTCAAAATTTAGTGGAGTAGCCATGAGGAACCTTCCTAGGTGTTAGCCTGATAGGAGGAACCAGCTCTGATACCAATTGTTAGTTTGTATGAGTCCACCAAACAGTAGAGTACCTAGTCCACTACGAGATTCTACTGAGAATGCTAATAACTATAAGTAAATGAGACACGGGATTTTTACGTGGAAAAATCCCACACAAGGGGACCAAAAACCACGACCTACACCAGTAGGCTTTCAACTTCACTAACTTGTAAAAACCTATTACAAGCCACTTTGTAATGACTCCATCACAAAGAATTTAACTCAACTAACTTGTGGTACTCTTACCACAAGCCACTTTGTGACTCCCTAGTTACAAAGACTTTTACTAACTTGTGATGCTCTCACCACAAGCCACTTTGTCACTCTACAGTTACAAAGGCTTTTGCTTATGACTAAACCCGGTCACAACATAAACTCAAAAAAGTTTACGGATTATACAAGAGGATTTCCTAATCAACGATTCTAGCTAAGCAATTTAGGAGATACAATAAATACAATCACAAAGTTACAACTCAACTAAGGACAACAACATGCTAACTTTAGGAACTGGTCCGTAGTTGCATTCGACTTTGTTCTTCAAGCTCGTGAGGATTGATTTCTCTATTTTTTGAAAAGCTTGAATGAGAAACTGAAACATTCAAGTAACGTTTCAATATAAACTCATGTTGGTATACCCTGATCATATCACTTGAAATGATGTGAGTACTTTAGTTGGTCAGGGAATGAGTGGGCGCTGGAAACAGTGCAGTGCGGCAGAAATAGTGCAGGTAGTCACTTCATTTCCAGTTGTGTCCAATTGACTTTGTACTGCTATGAGGGAACCACAAGGGTATCAGTTCCTTGTTTAGTTTCCTAGCTCCTGAAGCTGTAGCAGTTCACATTTAGCTAGAATAGAAATTAGTTTGTTACATATT